GGCGGCGCCAGCAGTCCCCCCTTCTCGGGCAACGCCGCAAACGCAGCCCCCTACCCGTGGGAACACGGCCCTTGCACGCGTAGGCATACATCTACACAGACCCATATCTACAGAGGTATATAAACACCCACACACGGCACACATCTCCCTGGAGATATTCCAAACCCGTCCGGACGCGGTCCTGGGCAACGTGCTCTAGAGGACCCTGCTGGAGCAGGGGGGTTGGACGAGATGATCTCCAGAGGTCCCTGCCAACCTCAACCGTTCGGTGAATCTGTGATACACGCACGCGTCCCGGGGCGCAGAGAGGCAGGAAGTTTGCATTTAGCGAATGCGGGCACGGCAGTACCGGCTCGGACGGAAGTGCCCCCACTGAGGGGTATATATTTGTACCCCTACTTCGCTCAGGCTACCCAAGGTCTCTTTCTTGCCGTCTTTCCAAAAAGCCCTGAGGATTCATTCCAGTTTGCATATCCTGCTAGGGCAGGCAGTACTCGCTAACGCTGCTCTTTCCTCCGGAAAAACGGCCAAATTGGGTTGGTAGCTCGCAAGAAGGGCTTAAACCGTGGGTCGAGCTGCCGAGCCGGCGATAGCCCGCTCTGTAGGCACAGCGAGAGCCAGCCCCTGCCTGAAGAGCTCGCACACGAAAAACACGCTAAAATTTCCTCCACCACGACGAAGGGATCCTTCTGATAAAAGTATTTGATACCCACTGAAGTGTCCGATAGATAAACAAGGTAAGTCACTATTTTCGTCATTTTGTTTTTTAAGCTAACGGAAACAGCTATTCTGGTCCATCTCAGCAAACGAACAACAGAAAGGATTTCTAGTACACGGACGGGCACAATTTCTCTTCCGTTCGTTTTTATTTCTATTAAGATGCGAGGAAAAAAAAAAAAAAAAAGCTACGAAAAGTGCCAAAAGTCTGTAAACAGTGGAAGGCCGCTGGATCCCGGGGGGGTCTTTACCTCAACCGTCTAGGAACTCTAAGCATTTATTTATTACTCCAGAAATCCACCCCAACCCAAACACCAAAAGACGGACATATTTAGCATTTTAAGGGTCAGAAGCGTTAACATACACCCCAGACCGAGTGACGCACTTTTCGAGATTAAAAGGAGAAGAGAGCCAAAGTTACCCCGACGCTAAAATACGTTAAAGTAGCTGGGCAAGTACTTGCTTCACACGTTGGCAAACGGAAAGACCGAAGGCAGCTTGAGCACGGCCCGCGACACGGCCGCGGTGCGGCCCCGCCATCGGCCCTGGGCCGCCCTGGCACCCCTTGCTGCAACCGCGGGAAGCTCCTCAAAACGATTCTCTCCTCGCGGCGCTGAGGAAATCTTCTTGGGGAAGCACCAGCTGGGCGAAACTAAAATGCAAGTTTAAGCAAAATCTTTTGCACTTACTGTCATACTCATTACAGGTATCTGCTTCGGGGAGGGACTGTGTTTTATTTAAATCTTGCAGAAAATCAAAACTCTTGGAAAGCAAACGAGTTTTTTTCCCCCCTCTACTAAAGCAGTCTTCCCTTTGAGATCTTTGGAAACGTCAAGAGGACTTTCAGGCAGGATGTGTATGTTGACATACTGGAACATAATCTACTTGATTTCCAGTATTTCTGGTCCCTCACTAATAAAAGAACATGTACGTCTCGGTATTCTCACGACATGCCAAATTATAATGTCTTGGTGGGATTTTCTCAGGCTAAAAATTAAAATCTTATTTTAGCAACAGTTCACATCAATTACAGTTGAATTGCAGTTCTCACTGTCAAAACAGGACAAACACAAACCACAACTATGTGGGAATTTCAGGAAAAAAAAAAACCCAAAGCCAAACACGATAAGGAAACTATGCGAGTTATTTCTTCTAAGCCTATCGCGGGAAAGGACTATAAATTTCTTAATACAGCATTGCTCTGTCTGCTGAGAAACTACTAAGAGGCATGCGCAAATCTGCTTGCTTTATATAGATTAAAACAACGTCCTGCCCCGGCAACACAACCACAAGAGAAAGGCTCAAACTGGAAATTAAATATATGGGAGGAAGGAGGTCATTACCAAAAAAAGAAAAAAACAAAAAAAACCCTGAAAAGAGGAAGATCATTCTGCAAAACATCCAATTAGCCACAGATTCTGTATCTAGAGTGCAAAAAGTTACAGCATAAAACTCGCTAACTTACCTAGACTCCACCCTGGAAAGAGAGAGACAGAGAGACACAGACGCTTTCCCCCAACCCCTGTGAAGCCACCTGCTTGCTATGGCGCTACGTGGTCTCTCGCGGCACCGTCAAAGCTAGCCGTCTCCTGCCGTTGGCTACAGACACCCCTCCTTTTGGGTCAAGCCATCTATTAAAATATAGAAAAGCATACTCCGTTCTGGAAGCTAGTCGATTCAATCTTCCAAAAAAAGGAAAAGGAAAAAAAAACCAGCCCAGTTTTTGGCAGATTCAAATGTTGTGTCAAACCCACAAGAGCGAGCATGCTCAGAGCGCCTTCTAAAACGATTTTTAACTCAACGAACTAATTGCCTTGCTGTTAAACTGACTGCCCACACAAGAAGTCAGCGCTGCGGGACGGACACGCGCATGCCGCGGCCCTAACGGCGCGATCCGCTCCTCGTGCGCCGCTTTTCACGTGCGCCAAGACCGGCGGGAGAAAGCCGGCACGCTTGACCGCGCGCGTGCCGCGCTGCCGGCCACGGGCCACATCTTCAGTCACCCTGAGCTGCGAGCGCCAGCGCTTGCGCCCGGGGAGCGCCAGTTTCTCCGGCTCTTGCGTTGCCCTCTGAGCAAACTTCGTTTTTGGAGGTGGAAAGAGCCATCTGATGGAAAAACAACTCGGGAACAAGTGCCGAACGAGATGGTCATTGGTTCCCGTTGGTATTTCCGGAGTACCACCGCAGACAGCGGATAAAGGACGCGTGAAAGTCGCAGGCCCCGGGACTACGTCACCTAAAAATCTTAACAGCCTGGGCCCTTACGTACAAGGTGAGAGCGACTCGCGCTCCGTAGGTGTAGCATGGCCATGGGGTGCCGTCTCATCCCTCCGCCTCCATCCGCCTCGGTCAGAGGCTGTCTTCTACAGTTACCTGTACCAGGCTTTAAGTGCAGTAATGCTCTGGCTTCACTTCAGCTCCCTCTTCAATAACACGAATCACAGGCATTTCTGCCCGCCTTCCTGAGACGCTGATACCCAAAGCACGTGTATCAAGACAGCAGGAAAGTCTGCAAATTTCACCAGCGTCCATTAAAACTGCCAAACTAGCGCGCTTCATCCCCTCCTTACCAAGGAATGGGGAGAAAAAGGGCAGTCCTGGGAGGGGGGAAGGCTAACAGAAAACCCCACCGACCAACCCAAAACTTCCACTTCCCAAGTCTCTTCTTACCTTCCACTGCGTAAACACGGCTCTCCATTTCAGATTTTAACCGTTCTCTACTCTTCATTTCTTAAACAACAGGTTTATTTTTATTTGGGAGCTCCCCACGAAGCTCCTGAAGCGGAGCGAGCCCTTTCCTTTCTTCGAGGAGAAAGCCCACGTTCTGGATGCTGTTACGCCTGCAGCTTGCACGCAGAACTTCTTCCAAGGATTGACTACTTACGTCTTCTCCAAGGACCAGTTTTTAGGCAAACTGCTTACAGAGATAACACAGCCTGTCTGAGCGCTGGTACTTTTTCATTTCAACGCCACGACAATTGAATCCTCGAGCTGGGGTGTCTCTTCCAGCCAACGCAGCGTCAGTGCTGTTTGCACTTGCACTACCGCGTTTTGAGTTGCATTTTTTTGCTGCAAAAGCAGCAGTAAATTTGGAGCCACAAGTCGGCGTTACTCAGGGGAAACGACGCTTGTGCTAACAGAAACCCCACGAGGCGAGGATTTTTCTTCTCATCTTAGTGTCTCGCATTAAATGATTCGCAATTATTCTCCTGTGAGTCCAAACCTCAACAGCAGGAGTGAGATGTACTTTAGGAGTGTGACGACGACGTAGATGGATCTGCTTTTGAAAGCAGCCTGTTATAAACTGAGAACACGATACTGCAGCGTTACGTAAGTTAAAAATTAAAAGCTGGCTCTGCTCTCTCTATTGTTCGCTGCGCTCAGAAGGAAAAACGCTCTGAAATCTGCCTACAGCAGGCACAGGAGAGCCACACTTCGGCAAAACGGCTTATCAAAATCCAAAGTTCAGCTTTCTGCCCTTACAGTAAGCGTGAGACAGGAAGAGGACCCTGAGTAAAGAGTTGCCGATCCTCCCTAAAACACCCAGAGTGAAATTAGGAAAGTCCCAGAGAGGAAATGTCATTCCTTTACCAGGAGACACAGGGCAGGGAGTGAGAGCCTGGGATCGTGTAATAGTTAGATTATTTCTTTTTAGATATATTTACATTATTTCTACCCCGGACCTGTGTTTGGACTCTCATGTGTTACCTGCGGATATCTCCAGGAGATCTGCAAGGCCTCCAAGAGCGGCTGCCCACAATGACTGCTGAAAACAGTCTTGGCCAGACGCAGATTATCCACTTCAAAGAGAAATGAATCATTTAGAAACAACCCTCGCTTCTCTGTATTATTCAAAATCAGAATCAAAACACACCTATACACAAAAAACGCTTTTAACCCTATTTGTGCCTAAGAAGAAAAGCAAACGGTCCAATGGCTGTTACTTCTTTCGATCACCTTGAGCTCTTCATGGCTAAAACCAGAAAACTGAAATACCTACCTATGAACTGAACAGTTTCCTTTGACATATGCTGCTTTGGGTTCAAATACATCTTGTTGCTATCATCACAGCTTGCTTAGCTTTTCACACAATGTATAAATCTGTATCCAGTTTGTAACACGCCTTCAAATATAAAGCCAAAAGCTCCTATAAAAGTCAAAACGCTAGTGCGGAAAGAAACAGAACTGCAGTCACCTACTGCTTCTAAATCCTCCTTTTGGCCATCTAAGCTCATATTTACTTCCACTGAAACGTTACAGAATGAAAATATAGGAAATCTTTCCAAACTTATGCTAGAACTGCTATTACAGGCCTGGAGATAACCAACAAGCCCCTGCTCAAGCAGCAATTTGGGCGATGGCAAACGTCCTAAGGGTGCAGAGGCTGAAGTGAAACAGAATACCAAGTGCTGCAACTAATTATCACTTCGTTTGCAGAAAAGGTCAAAATTCCCACACAGCCTCGCGCCACAGCACCTGAAATCACGCTGCTTCATACTCAGCATACTGATTCCTCAAAAAATTCTTGACAACCTAGGAAGTGCTGACCCACGATGGACGAATCTGAGCTCCGTTCTTCCTCACTTGTGAAAGAGCCACTCTTTCACAACCGGTGCCGCTCAGGACTGGAAAAGCTCTTGCCTAAATTAGGGAATAAATCTTCCCGTCCCCCTCCCTCTCTTCGACTGGTAATAGTACGGACAAACCAATCTGGATACAGTGTTTGGTTTGGTTTGGTTTGTTTTAAACACCAGCATCCAGCATCAGACCTCCAGTTCCCAAGTGCAGCACTTCCAGAGAAGCCAGCCAAGCACCAGCTTCAGGGTCCTCTAATCCAAAGTAGCATCGTGACTCCGGCACTCTGGGAGGTCTTCTATCAGTACTTCCCAAAAGCTGGCAGAGACTTCTCCTACCGTTACCCTCTTCTGCTTCAAATACACAGCGTATTTATTCAAGCTTACCTCCTGTAACAAACCTAGGACACCATGCGTTTATACAACCAGGTTTCATAGCCATATACAACATGAAAAGCTTTCAAAACAAACATTCCTTGAGATACACTTAAGAACCTGGGTAAAAACACGAGGTCAAACATGCGACAGAGGTTCGTCACAACCCGTAACGACCTATTCCACCCAGCGAGCGAGGCTCACGCGCCCATCGCCTCCCCAGCATGAGCCCATACAGAGTAACACGTTACTGCTGCCCTGTGCCGTATCTGTAGCCACCAGGCACTTTCCGTCTCAAAGAGAATAATTTGAACATTGCATTTGGATCTTGACAACTGGGAAGCCCGAGCCGAACTCAGAAAGGTACATCAGTGGCGCTGACAACAAGAAAACATGAAACTGCAGCGAAATGGCAATAAAAGGTCCCATTACCAATGCATTTCCTCCTCCTCCTCCTCCCTGATGGTACTCAAGAGCTTTTTCCCTTACAGAGAGATTATGCTCTCCCACTCTTTTAAATTACTTCTTCCCACTACTGCATCTGTTTTCAAATCTTAATAATAGTTAGGATTTTTTTTAAGGGGTAGAGCAGACACCGCTCTATCTCCTTAAGGAAAAAAAAACAGGCAATCTCCAGATCGTTACAGAACTGTACCAACAACTTCCTACACATAAATATTAATGAGAATAAAGTGAGACTCATGAAAGAAACCAGCTGTTCAAGATACTTTTAATAAGGGACTCGCTTACCGGCTGAACACTTCATTGAAAATCTGTTTTCAAACCTACATTTTGGTACCAACTTACTTGTTCCGGAATTATTCTCATTTCCTAGAAGTGACCAGTTTTAGCAACCTTTAAAAAAAAAAAAAAAGTCAGAACGAATTAAGAAGCCCTAGGAAACAAAGCATTACCAGGAATCGTTCCTCTTTTTCGAGCCAACGCTGATCTTCTTCCATCTCTTGTTGTTGTCGTATCAATCTCTCCTCCATGAGATGTGTGGGAAGAATCTGTCCCATTCCTCGAATGTCCAAAGTGCCCGAATCCTACAAAACGGCAAAGTGTATTCAGTCCCACAACAACAAGCAATTTGCATAAACAGCTGCAATATCTTAAAGGTTATAAAAGAAGGGATTATAAAAAGCCCAAACATACAACAGAGTCCCTGATCTCCTTATGAACTGAAGCAGACCATCAGAAGAAACTCTTTCACACTGCAGCAGTTTAACCGCCTTCCTAATCACTGGAATCAAAAAGATTTGAAAAATTCTGTTCTGTCTTCCAGTAACATAGTCGCTTCATCCTCTTGCGCTTCACTCAAGCAGGACAACCAAAAACATTCACCAAATTCATTTGCTTGGTCTTGAGCAATAACACGACAAACCAGTTGCTAGAGCTGCAAGACACATTTTTTAATCCAAACAAGTATCTTTTCAATTTTAGCCGACACTTGTAAAGCATAAAATGAAAACATATTAAAAGAAGTGTAAAATGTTGGAAGAGAACAGAAAAAAGGAAAAAAAAGACAGAGAAAGGGGGAAATAATTTGATGTTCCTTGCAGCGTTATGCAACCCCGAGAGGCTGAAAAGCACCCGATAGGAATACAACCCGAGAACAGTTTTGGGGACCATTTTAACACAGATGTTCCCTCCTATATTAACTGCAACAAGCTTCAGGAGAGTCTTATTTTAATAAACTGAAAATGTTTGTGATCACTCATTTAGCCTCCATGTCTAGAGCAGTAATAACTTCCCCAAGAAGTAGTGTAAAGAGCACAAACACTTCACGTACGAGATCTCACGTAAGAGATTTTGGTTCAAAAAGAACTGAATTCAGTCCCGAGTGCCGTCCCACTGCAATCAGGGAATCCAAACAAACAAAACATCCCCAGACAGATGTACTTAATTTCCCTACCATAATCTCCACATGTACCTAAGTAATAGCAATACAGTGAGTTTAGTGCACAGCGCGCAACACGAGATGTGCCGGCTCACGATACCTCCATGTTTGGTTGCCACGCTGATATTTCTTGAGGCCGATGGTTCCACGACTCTGTTTGATCCAGGAGAGACGCTTGCCCAGGATAAATGCTGCCCGCCATGGCGGGCATCCCATGAGAACCAGGGTAGCCAGACACCTTCAGAAGAAAGAGAAAAAAGTTATATTAATGTGCCCTGTGCTTCTCCGTGTTTAGTTGTTCTTTTTTTTTCCCCCTCCAGGGAGCAAATATGAGAGCACAGAAGTGACTCAGTCTGGGCAGTCTCTGGGAGGGAGGAGGGGAAGCGACACCAGAAGAAGGAAGCCAAGCCAAGCCAAGCCATGACACACACAAAAACTCTTTCTCTAATCCCTGTGCTATTTGAGGATGCCTATCCTAACAGCAGCACTAGGAAGTGCTTTTTAACCTCTGTAGTCAAGAAGATCCAAGTCCTCTGAGGAGCAAAAATAACCCAAGTGATATATTTCTAAGTCACGGATGCGGAGCTCATTCAGGTTAACGGGAGCTCTGCACGTATTGCCCTCTGGAGCCATCCGGAAACGCAACCTCCCGTGCACGTTAGGAGCCTAAGTAAGTCTTGAGTGACAGCATGTAATTGCTGTGCTCAGCTGCACAGCCTGGGAACTTCCCCATTGAAAAAAAATCAAAGTCATTTTAATGAGCCTGAAGCATTCTCATTAAAACAATGAAAATCTTCCCTATCTATGGAAAAAACAACAACGAAAAAACCCAAAAATCCTCGGTTGAGCCTGCTGCACACAGCCACAGCTTTGAACAAAGCCAAGAACGCTTCGGGACTAACTTGTGCTTTAAATTTCTTTGGTAGTATTAATAAAAGCAAAGCCTGCAAGCGTACTGTGCGATAGATGTAAAGGAGGCGACTAGCCAACGGAAAGTGAAATGTTTCAGAGAAGCATCAGGGAGCTGTGTATCAATAAACCCAAGGTAAATGCACTAGTCAACCCCATTTTACCATGCGAGTCATTTTGTAGCTTAGCACAAACGCCACCGTGAACGCCACATTCCTTCAGTAAATACAAAAAGGCCCAATGTGCTTCAGTGCCCCTTTAGGAACTCGAGCGCCACGTCAACTGCGGAAACGTTTGCCATCTGGAGCAAACCTACCAGGCTCAGCTCAGGGTTTGTTCTGATGTAAAACAGAAAACATTTACCAGGACTCGATGCAACTAAACCGCGCAAGAAGTGAATCGATCCCACCAGCTGCAAGCGAGTTATAAAACGCCACGTTCGAAAGAATACAGGCACAGCGTTAAATATCATACCTGGTAATGATTTGGCTGTACCATATGCTGCGGACTTGGATAAAATCCTTCGCTGGATCTTGGACTGGGGTAACCAGGCCTACTGGGCTGTGAGGGTGAAGGAATTTTAAGAGAGTCTTTAGAAACAGAAAAGCGTCAAAACTGAGGATTAGTCTTTGGCGAGACGAACATTTACAGGGCCTAAACCACAGAAGTAAGCTCGGAAAGAAAACTGAAATGAATATCGTAGATGATTTGCAGTGTTACTTATTTATTTTTATTGCAAACAATTAAAGCTTCCTCTACTTTCACTCACAAACAGAACAACCTAAATCATTTGCTAGACATTTCAACAGAAAATGCCTCTTCCGAATTTTTTTTCCTGCATATTTAATTGCAAGGACTAAAGACCCTGCTCTGTGCAGATTAATTCTAGAGAGGACACCAGAGCAGACCATAACTTAAGTCAAGTTTCCAGGAGCAAACAGCAACGTTTCTAAGCTCATAATCTGTATTACAGAAATATCTCCGAAGTTTTACCATCAATGTGTCGCTTCTGCGAATGTTCCCAAAGTAAATTCTTTTTACTTTGGGAAGCCTGGTCTAAAACGAACACAAGTCAAGCAAGCTGATTTATTTGGTTAGCATGCACAGTTAAATGAATGATTCTGAGGACCAAAGCTAGGGCTGATTATTAACTTCCACGTAATTAATTGCCTCAGACCGGAAGGTGTTTCTGATCATACTGTGAACTCCGAGGTCCCTTCGCTACACAGGTTTTGTTTTGCAACCCGTTCCCAGCCAAGACAAGCAGACAGAAAGAGCTCCTATTAGAGAGCAGAGCTCTAACAGAAAGAGGCTATAAGATATGTTTGCTTTTTGGTGAGGAAAAGTGCTGCTGGGCATCTCAGGAGAAGAAAAATCAGCAAAAGACGAAATAAATGATAAAACCTCATCGTTCTGCAAAGGGGCTGCTACAGTCCCTCCAGCAGCTAGAGGCTACCACCACATTACTTTGGGGTAGCACAGTTTTATCATTGCTTTATGAAAAGCGTCATTACCATTCTGTACTAGGATCTCCCGTCTAAGGTTTCTGCCAGTGAGACACACAGAACTTCACAGGACCAAACTGTAGCGATAAATTACCTGTGCAGGCGTAGGACTGAGTTTAATACCATAAATAGAACTGAGTTCAAGCCCTATAAAGGGCTTAAACTTTTATCGTTAATTGTCGTAAGAGAAAAAGTCATCACCATTTGAAAAACGATATAAAAACTTCAGAGATATTTAAATCTCATATCCACAAAATTCAGTTTGTGCACATGCCATTAGTATGCATGCCAACATTTTACACAAAAAACACTGTTCAAAAACCTTACCTAACCACTTTACATATGTGGTGAGGACATCTCAAAGAGTTTAAAACTTCACCCTCCAAAAGGTGGTAGGCGAATTCATTTCAATCCTACCCCATCTTTTTTCAGCTGTTGCCGTTTATATCGCAGCCCAAGGCTTTAACGATGAGCATTTCTAATAGGATGTTGTTCTTCATCCACTACACTAAAGGTATTTACTCTATCTGGACGAGCCTCACAATAAATAAATTCTTCAAACAAGCTTTTCATTATCAAGTAGCATTTTTTTTCCAATTTACACAGTTTATCTGCTTCTGTAACTTGGTACCTTGTCTACTTATATATGCACCAAACCCTGAGGGTTCATCTGAGATGACTGAGCAGGCTGACATCCGGATTATTTGCTGGTTTTAACTCTGCAATGAAAGCAACAATTGCTTTGTCCATATTTCTCGGTTGCCTACCACTACTGAAACGGAGAACTGAGCTCCAAAATCTAGCAGGCAACAAGCTGCCAATGGGGAAACTAAACAAAACCAAAGTGACTTTCCTATGGCTGCCGGAGGATGTGCATGGCAGAAGGTGCCATGGTGGTACGACTAAAACCAGCAGCAGCACCTGAGCTGGCACAGCAGGCTCCAGGATTTCACCATCACAGATCGACTATGGCACAGGGAATATTGGATATTATGGTGGCTCCTGCACAAAAGCAAGTAGCCAAAATTTTCCCAAATACCATCTCAATCCTTCCAAGTGCAAAAGATCTCCTCTGAGGAACAGTCAAGTTATGGAGAGAAGAGGAGCAGCAAGCGGGGAGGTTACCACTCCACAACTGCAGGACACATCAGGGACATCCACATGGGACGAGGCAAGGAAACAAGATTAAACGTAAACTAACATGCACAGGTATGGAAGTAAAACTATAACTTTCTGTTTTCAGAATAAGGAAAGTGCAATTAATGCCCTTGTGTGCTCTCACTAATGAATCATAAACAAAAACTTTATGGTGGTCTGAGCTCTCACTAGCTAGGATAGGGGTGCTGCAAGAAAAAAAAAGAAAAGTCCAGGAAACTATTTTGTGTAGCCTCTTACAAGTTACACAAATGACAAGAAACAGAAGATGGTTAGTAAAAAAAAAAAAATTACAGTACAGATCAGCTCTAGTAACTGAGTGTAAGCAGAGCTGGGTCACTTCAGGCAAGTATTAGCAGACGACAAAAGCAGCCAAAACGCCGTCGTCTGGACCACTCGGTCAAAGGAGGGCTTTGAAGAAATAAATGGAAGAAAGAGAGGATGTTGTTTCTTTCCTTCTTTTTTTTTTTTTTTTGTTTTAACAAATACTTTGCAGTCTGCTGCCTTAGCTACCTTGGGAGGGGCTTCATCGGAGCCTCCCGAGTCCCAGGACACGGTGACCTGCCGCCTGGACTCCATTCGCATCCGTTCCTCTTGCTGCAGCTTCTCTTCCTCCAGGATCGTACTGCGGAAAACGGAAACGTTGCGTTTAATAAAACTCCCGTTCAGCGTCTAACAGAGCTCTCCGCGGCGCCCCTACATCTCGCGAACGAACGGACGCTATTCAGCAAAGCGACCGAGAACGGGAGGACACACCGGTTACGTTTCCAAAAAGCAGTATGGGGAAGAAAGGCTTCCACAGGATTATCAGCGTGCCTTTAACAACAGAAACAGCAGCAAGTTTTTAAAAAGTTGCGGTCGATCTTGGGGGGGGGAAAAAAAATTTTTTTTTTCCTTTTTTTTTTTTCCTGCGCGTTAACATTTCTCCGGATGCTTCATTACGCAGAGAAATCCTGCGACGCAGCGCATCAGGCATTTACTTGCAGGACAACTTATTCTTCACAGGGAAAATATTCTACTGAGCTGCCGCAAAGCTTCAAGGGACGAGAAAACGTCCTTTACGGCAACTTGACGGAGCTTCAAATTACTAAAATTATCAGAATTGTCCCTTTTTTTTTTTTTTTTAATTTCTTTAAAGAAAGCAACCAAAAGCCTTGCAAATCCTAAGCCTTCCTCTTACATTTCAGCCCAACCAGGAACACATTCAGCAGACAAATTTAGCCAAACACAACTATGTGACAGCATTCACCCCGCTTCCAAATATTCAGGTCAAAAGGCCGCGTTTTCAACAAAGTACGAGACGGCGCTAACGCCGGTTTGCTACTTACCCCTCTTCTGCCTACTAAAGAGCGTTTCGAGCTCAGCGCGATACCGCTGCCTCCTCCACAGCCGCCTCCTCCCAGCTCTGCTATGTGGATTATTAATGTTGGATATTTGCCATTTTAAAAATACCCGGCAAACGGGGAACGGCAAATTCAGCGGGGCGGCGGGCTGGGCGGCCGTTGGGGCGACGCGGCTAGCGGCGGAGCTAAAAGGCGGCGTTTTTAATCGGCCCGCTCGCTACCCGGCCCGATTACTCACGCGAGGGATGAGCTCAGCTCCAGCAATCTGCTCCCATCTGGGAACTTTACGGCTTAGTTCAGGAATAAATTGCTGCTTGGTGGGAGCCCGGAGCTTCGCTTCTCCTCACGTGGCCAAAAGCGGGGTTAAAAAAATAAAGAGCAACGCGCCCCACGCCACTGAAGGAAGCAGGGAAGGCATCTAGCCCGACTGCAGCGAAGCCGAGTTTATAAGCGTTGCTGCAATTTCCATCCATCACTGCCGAACTAACACAAGAATGCGCAACAAAAACAACATCAGGCGAGGTATTTGCGGAAGCAACCCCGACACAGCTACCGCCCGGCGGAGGGCGCGAAAAAAGAGGACGAGCTTTCTGTTTCAGCTCTCTCTCCCTCCCTCCAGGACGGGGAGATCGTTTCACTAAAACACCAAGAGCCGCGAAGCGGGAGAAGAGCCGCTTGGAAGGCCAGGTTACGCTTCGGCTGCTTGGCACGTAGCTTTGCGGAGCGTGAGAAACCGCCCAACACGCACCCGTAGCCATGAACCACGCTCGGGGTCTTCCCTAGCGGTATCGCAGGATCTCAAGCGAGAACAAAACGCACATCTTTCGCGCCAAGTATATTTTGCAACGAAGCAAAAGGAGCGGGGCAAAAGTCGGCTGAAAGTCGCTGACTTTTAGGTGGCTTATTGACAATTAGGGCCACGGGTGTCACTTGTCACAGAGCATCGCTGCTCTTCCAGGAGAAGGACCGAAACGCTGCTACCTGTCTGCCTTGCTGGCGGTGCCGCTGTGCCCGTGGTGCCCAAGTATTTCCTAACACCATCAACTTCAACAGTGTAACCGGAAGCGGCAAATTTCTACCAAAATGACTGATTTCTCCCAACAGAGGCTCAGCTTTCCGCCTCGCAACTCTGATGCCTTCCCCGCCGCGCCTCTGCCCGCATCTTGGGGAGGTCCCTTCCCAGCGCCCCGACGGGCCGCCTGGCCAAAGGACGATCCTTGTACTTGGATGCCCTTGAGCGGCTGGTGCCGAGAAGAGACTATGAAACGGCAACGCCTCAGAGGAGCGTTATTCGGCACAAGGATATAAACGGCTTACAAAAATGCCTTTGTTTGCACAACGGGAAGGCCGAGCCATAGACGGAGCAAAAGCACGCCCAGAGATACCTTTGACCTTTTCTCGGCGCAGCTGCTCGAGTACTCTGAACAGTTTATTCGCATTTGCAGAAGGTCAGGAAAGTCAGATCTAGGCATATTTTCCCAAACGACATCTATTTTTAGCAGCCAAGAGGAGCAAGCGGAGAAGCATTTCTCTTCCAGACGATTTCCCCGGCTAATCTTAAGGTGGTACGAGCAAACGTCACTGCATCTTCCGGGCCGCGTGGAGGAGAAGCCTGACGCAAAACTCCAGCGAGTAAAAGCTCGCTGAATTGATGGGCTTATTTATTTTACAAAGAATCTTTCTACCAAAACGTGCCCGTGCCGTTGAAAAGGACACGTTTGCTGAGAGTTTCTATGTAGGAATTTGTGAAATCCTGAAATGTAGCCTTGCATTTCAGGAGACACAGCAAAGCCAGCGTCCTCCGATACCGTCCTGTGGGGACCTTCAGTAAGCGCCGACGCTTTAACAAGCAGCTGCTTTCTTTCTCTCTGCAGCCTCCAGCCACCAGAAATACAAGGCTGGACGTAGAGGAACATGTTGTACATACTGGCCTAATTTAATAATTTTAATAAGAGAGATTATTCCCAACGGTCACTGCCGAAGAGAGCAAAAGGCTTACCAAGTATTCTGCAGCCTACACGATATGTATGGAGTTATCTGCTTAGAAGAAAAAGGCGGGAGGGGGGAAATATTGGCAGGATGCTACAAAATGGCAGCACTCTAGAGCTGTCCTCATTATCAGCTTTGTTTTTTCTTTTTCAGTACTGCAAAAGTTACAGCGAATGTGGTCACAAAAAGCCTCAAGTCTCATCTTCATCAGTTAATTATCTCAGCGTTGCCATTAAAACAGACTTTAAGACCATGAATCAGTCATTACCTCTACGCTATTTTACATTATTTCTAGAGCTGTATCTGTATTTAGTATGTGATTGGCAGTCCCACGGACTGCAGTCCCACAGCAGAGATAAAACCACTCCTTAATTTGCTATTTTTAGTAGAGAGAAAGAGTTAGCAACGAGCACCTGATGTAAAATTCACTCGAGGCTGCAACGAAACATCGCTGAACTATATTAAGAGGCTCAAAAGTAAAATCCTACTTAACATCGAACGCAAAAAACAGTTTTAACAGAACTGCCAACCAAAGGGACATTCGGGGCACCACGCTTGCAAGCACAAGCCTGGGAGCTCGTAAGAAAGCCTATGACTGCATCGGTGCTACCTTTGCAACACAAAACCTTCAGGGTTTGGGGCATTTAAAGAGAGCAAAGGAGAGCGGAAGAAGTGAGAAGTGATGGCGGAAATCCACCATCCATTTGCTTCTCTGTTGGCTTGAAGTCTAACTCATCCCTATACACTTCTTCTTCGGAGCCACACTTGTTAGAAAAATACTCTGCTTTTCTACTACCCTAATAACACTACATAAATTCTACAGAAATGCCCCTCTTCACGGGGCACAAGCAGCTGCAAAAAATGTTTGCGCAAAGCAGATGTTAGTATGAAATGGGTAAAGCATCAAATAACAAACTGAGAACATTCGAGATGTTTATGCTCCCATCAGTGCTATTTCAGATGCAGAAAAAAAGTTTTTTCCCAAACTCATGGACTTTTGTCATTAAAACAGAGAAGAATGTTGTGGTGTTGTATCATGCGCTTCAAGCATACAGCTAGCCTGCTCTCAGCTTGAAAAACTACCCTGGAGAGTATCCAAAAAGAGCAGCAGAACCAACACACAGAAACAGCCACCAGGGACATGGCTTGTTTTTGCAAGTTCATGGGAATTTGCGTTCTGAAACCCAATCTTTCCTAGTTGCCTGAGATTGCCTCATCATAAGGGAATTGGCAACCTTTCCAACGAAAGGCTGACTTTGTCTTTGTGCGGCGCAAAGAAGCCCTAAGGACAACTGTACCGCTTTGCTTCCAGTAGAGAAAGGTCACCCTTTTGCAGCGGCAGCAAAGTCTCTGCTTTAGTGAGAAGAAAATGGATTCAAGACTTCTTGCAGCCCCAGGAGAGAGACTGTCCTCTAAAGACTGCTACAGATCTCCTAGCGTGACAAGAGGAGAAAAGAAACCCTCCCTCAGTTCACCTTTCAGCTAGAGGCAGTCAATCATTTCGCCTGGAAGGTCTCCTGGAGGTCTCCAGTCCAGTTTCTGGCTAAAGCAGGGCTGATGCAGGTCAGGTCGCTCAGGGTAGCTTCCAGTCAAGGTCTGAAAGTCTCCCAGCACGGAAATCCCAGTCTCTCGGGGAGACCCGTTTCAGTGCTTAACCACGCTCAGCAGGAAAAATCTTTGTTTCTTTATATCCAGTCGCGATTTGCCTTGCTGCAATCTGTGACTTGCTTCTCGCCCTTCGGCTGTGCGTTTCTGAGAAGAGTCAGGCTCTGGGACACGGGTCTGTCCCGTTATTCTGGTGACACCTCTCCTGTCCTTCACTTTTCCTCTCTCCCTGCTCCTAATTCGTGCTGCTGCAAGCACTGCTGCCTTTGCTCTCCCTCCGAGGACAGGCTACATTTATTTCACTGCTCACACAGTTACTCTCGCTCTGGGTTTCTTTTTCCTCTCCCCTTGCTGGTGAGATACTCTCTTATTACGGTAAGTGCTTTGTGAGAAGGGCCATGCCTCTGTAGTTACGTAAGTTATTAGTCTATGCAGGAGCTCCAGGCATAACAGACAGTGAAACAGCATGACATTTTAAGAAAGAGGGAAAACTGTAAAGGTAGCTACAGACCAGGACAAGTTAGCCATACAGCAGCTTTGAACGAGCATCATAATTATAGTAAAATTACTGCTTATAGTAAAATTACTGCTTACTTCAATCACCTATGAATCATCTTGCATACCTGAACATCCAGTGACAGCCCAAATTGTTTTATGAAAATAAAATATGCCACAAAGCACAACTTTGAACCCAGACGGAACATAACCATGACGTATTTGGCAACGAGTCACTACAAAGCCACTCGGGGACTTATAGCTGGAGAAAACTTAAACGTTGTTTTCAAGGCTAATGTTGACTTTGACAAAATAAATACTGAGCACTCAGAAGAAGATCACCAAGGTCATCACAAATGTTAAATGTGCCTATACGGTATCTTTGTGATGCTTCAAAGTTTAAACCTGAGCTGGAGAAACTGAGATACAGACACAAGAATCAGTTGCTGCAGAATAAATTAGCGGGCAAATTTAGCCTGGTGTCACAAGCATGTGCTCACACGTACTCCACGATAAATGTAAGGTAGTCCACCTCTACTTTATAGAGAGGAAAGTCATTTCTAATTAATCACACTGCATTTACTGCGGGCTACAAAACCGCACAGAGACAGCCGCCACAGGACAACCTCCACCCCACGTACGCTCGCACGGTACGTTGTAAATCTCATTTTGAGGTATGGGGTGGATAAGTGATTCACCAAACGAACTTTCAGCAACACTTGCTTCAAAATTTTGCAGGTGCTACTGAAAACGTTCACGTGCCTAAGTCAGGGCACCTGCTTTGAAAAGTGGCGGTTCATTTATTTCAGAAATGACACCTTTCTACCACCAACCCTGTGACAACTACACGTTTGACTAAGTAATCGATCCAAATTCTTCCTACCGCTAGCCCTGAGGATCGTGACATACATACCTAAAGTTATAAAACAATTGCTCAAAATTTGGAATTTTGGGGGGAGAGAAAGAAGGGGGTTCACATTTCCAGTTCCTGCGGATTTATTTGCCCCATCTGATTTTCTTCATTAGATAAGGTCCAGGTTTCCAACCTGGAAGAATGTCAAACACCTGACCCTCTGAAGATAAAACTTAACACACGGTCTTTCATTTCCCACGGAAAGAAAAGATTTTAACAAAACATACAGCAAAGATACACATCTTTGAACAAGGAAACCATCTTTCAGAAGTATAACCCTACCTGAGTTGTGCTTTAAGTTCAGTAAACCTGGGTCGTCTGCTAGGGTCGTAGGCCCAGCACTTGGTCATAAGGCTGTAGAGGGTGGGAGGGCAGTTTGGAGGCATTGGTAGGCGCTCACCGTTCTCAATTCGACCGATCACATCATTGTTCTTCACCCCTTGGAAGGGCTTTACCCCGTGCATGAGGATCTCCCACATACACACGCCTGAGAAACATAACACATTGTCCCAGCGTGAGCAAACTAGGAAAGCGGTATTGAAACACCCCGCCGAAGGGAAACAAAAAACCCCAAGCAAGCGCAGCCTGCCTTTTAAGCGAAGAAAAGAAGTTGTAATACAGACCGCAGCTGAAATAAAAGGACAAAAGAAAACACACCTCCTTTCAGAGTAGTCACGGTCAGCAGTACTCCGTATTAGAAATTCACCCGTTCCCAAAGCGCCTCGCTTGACTTGCACAGCCAAATAACGCAACTTCTTCATCCGAAACGTACAGCTAGTGAATCAGTTCTCACTTACCGGCTGGCGGCGGAAAGGAATGACGCGCAGCCCGAGCGCACGCACGGTATCGGCCACCACCGCTCCCGAGGAAGCATGACCCGCTGCTGGCTCACAGCAGCCAGGCTTCACCTTGAGCTACGCTTTACCTACCGTAAGCCAGAACGCTTGCTCATATTCAAATCTACGTTTTCATGAAGTAGCATGAGCTGTATTTGCTTTCCCCTTTGACTAGTTTCAACTGGCTTGTTTTGACTTGCAGAAGGTATTTTTGCTTTGAGGGTGTTTTACTGCTGGCATCGAGCCACATTTTTGGTGCTGACACTATGTAATAAAACAGTTTCTGTTGAAACCGTGTCAAAAGCACAAAGAGAAAAATGGTCTGTCGATTTAAGGTCAGTCTGAATGCTCCGCAGACTTAGTTTTTCTAACTCCAACTGTAGGCATGTTTTCTTTGAAGTATTTTACACCTTGTAAAAATCATGCATGTTTCACTCGAAAACATTCAGACTTTATTTTTCAAAGAGGCTGAATCCTTATTTGTTTGTCCGGCTCTTTATTTCCTCTTACTTCAAGCCCCATCACCTTAGTTCCTTCATACAGCCTGTCTTTGTGTTGTCCGTCCAGACACGGAGTCTGTGAAGCTCTAGTTGGAGCACAGGGCATCAGATTCACATCAAAACTTATTCAAAAAAATATTCAGAAAGAACCAAGGTTTCAGGGCATTCCCATTCCCATTCCCTTTTTTTTCTTTTTCTTTTTTTTTTTTTTTTGCTCAGAGATGGGTCTATTTTCTATGCTAGCAGGAGCTATGAAAGACAAATTAGGTGCGACTGTGAGACTTTAACATTAAAAATCTAGAAACAGGCCAAAATACAGGCTGATCTATGCATTAAGCAGGGAAGCCGGCAGACCACAGGGCAGGAAAATGTGAGAATATAAAGCAGAAGCAGCAAATAACAGCGGTATGACAAAAAACCACAGAAACAAAACCAACCACCAGTAAAGAAATCATCTCCGTTATGACTAGGACCTAATTCCCTTGCACTTTCATTTCCGTCCACTTCTTAGTACACGTGAAAAGGCACATGAAATTTTAGACTTACTGAGTAGGGCAAAAAAGGAAGGAAAAAAAAAAAGAGATGGAAAACGTCCAGGAAGAAACTGGATGTTCAGAACGCACAATAAAAAATGCAGCCAATTACCTGGAAATTATTCATCTTCCATTAATTACAATGAAACCCAACTTCTCCAACAGGACACTTAAAAACCCAAACAATCGGTATTCCCTTACCAAACATCCACACATCGCTAGCGGAGGTAAACCGTCGGAAGTTGATTGACTCCGGAGCCATCCATTTGATAGGTAACTTTCCCTTGGAAGCTGCAGGGAAGGTAGGAGAAGACAGGCCATTATTTCTGCTACGGAGCTCAAACACAGATTTTTGGTGCCGTGGGGCAGGCAAAACCTCTCTCCAGTGCAGCACTGCAACCATCGCGTTTTGCACAAGAGACTTCTGCACGGCCGGACCAGCTCCGCCGGCAGCTCCCCTTGACGGCGCCGAGAAGAGCGGCGCGGCGCTCAAATACACGGACCGACTGAGCAGGGGCTCGTTCCGGTTCCAAGTTAATTCTCCTGATTTCAAGATACAGCTCTCGCAGGTTAAGAACATCCCGATACCAAATCGGACACTGTCGCACAAAATCTCACAGTGTTATTGTGAGACCCAAGGGACATAAGGAAACCTTCTGGGGAGCAGGGGTCCACATAAGGCATGCTTCCAAATACAGGAGGCAAATTTGGAAATATAGTGAAGATTAAACGTATGAAAACATGCTTTCATAACATGCACCCGATGTAAAATGTCATTGTTTGGTACCCTACAATGCCATCTCTGTTCTCCCGCTCTGCTTCCCACCTATCAGGCACTGCAGGGCATCTCCCAGCTGCTGGAGCCAGTTAACTTCGGTTTTCCACACAAAATGGAAAAAAGTAGGTTTCAAAGATTTTCTTCTACTGAATCTCCCCAGCCCATTGCTATCTGGAGTATGCAGCACATGATGACAGGGCAAACTCAGTACAAAGACCTGCAGGCGACCCTGAACTCACTGAAGGCTAGTTAGATTTTGCCATGAACATGAACATTTTCTCAAACGAGCCTCACAGGTGAATAATCTAAAAATTGCGAAGCAAGCAGTATAAACTTCTCTTAAAAAGACACAGTTTTACCGACGAATGAATTTCCTCCGTTCTGCCATCGAAAACGCACCCTGTGATTCTCCTTTGTGCAATGTACATGAAGGAATTTACCACTATCTATTAATTACTGGATAGTTGGCCTTTTTATACAACTACTACAGCTAGGCCAAGAAAATCTGGCTAATGCCTTTTGACAACAAACTTGGTACTGTGAAAAGCAAGCGTGTTAACTTACCTTTATAGTAAGTACTGTCTTCCATATATCGCGACAACCCAAAATCTCCTAATTTCACACAGTCAGTGGCAGACACCAGCACGTTTCTAGCAGCAATATCCCTGCCAAATAGAGGAGACACTATTTCCAGTCATTTAAAAAAAAAAAAACTGACAGCGGTAAAATAGCAGCATCAAGAAAGGAATATTTATGAAATCCCAAAAGCATCAGGCTCCTGGGAAAGGGCCAAATTATTTTCTAATCACGGTTTAACTCTGCATGTAGAGAATAAGAAGACTACATAATATTTTTCCACTGATAATGAAAAGCTTGCAGAAATACTGTAGTATATTTGATCCTTATAACTATCATCCAAAAATATAACTGTCAACGTCAACATCGGAGAAAAAAGTTTTATTTTTCACCTATTTAAAAATCGCAGGGTAACAAATTTAGGCACTTAGTCCTAGGGATAGTCCTACAGGGATACGTATGGACACACAGGACTTGAAACACACTTTAAGTATTTAGACACACATAAAATGCTTGTGTCTGGGCTGGGTACAGGTTAACTGCGTGCAGTAAAAGAGGCTAAAACCTCTCTCTTCTCCCTTGAAAGCTGATGTTCAAACTCAAGGGAATAACAACTAAAACACACACCAAAAGGGAACTTTAGGTTGTTTGTTGTATAAATATTTCGTTTTCCTCGTTCTTTACTTAAGAAGCCAGCTGCCCTTCGTTTTGCTTTTTTTTTTGTATTTGGCAAATCACAGCCGACCTGCAGCTTGGAAAAAACCTTGCAACTGCAAGGCCACAGCTCAGCTGACTAAAGCCAGGCAACATCCCGAAGGCAGTCTAGCAGCGGGCCAGCAGGGGTCACTCTTGGGAAGGGCGTCATTTTGGTTGCAGAGTCTCCAAAAACAGTGAGAGTCTAATACGGAGCCCGACATAAAGCAGATAGGTGGACTTTAGGCGCGCCGAAGTATCGCTGCTACACGCTCATCAGGAGAGGGCAAGGAAAGGAGAAGAGCAGGCAAGCTTCAAAGCATGCACCTAGGCACTGTAAATGTTTGTCTTCACTCCAGCAAGCGCACCTACTGCCAACCATCCAGGACACTCCTTCCACCCTAAAATATTAAGTAGTTAACATATAAAAATACATATATACGCATAGACATGTATACATAAAACCTTACCTATGTACAAATCTCTTGCTCTCTAAGTAGGCAAGCGCTGTACTAAGCTGGTAAGCGTAGAGTATCAGAGAGGCCAGATCCAAGCTGTATTTTCTTACTTGCAAAAACGATCTCAGCTTTTTGCAAAAGAAGAAGAAAGGGAAGAAGTCACGATAAAATATTTGAACAAAGCATACCTTCAATTGTAAAGTTTGCCCAGGTACCAATTGACATGCCCTCCCTTTAGAGTGGATGAGAAAAGAAAATCAGTTCTGACGTAGAAACACGACTGAAAACTGCCAGCCAAACCAAGACGAAACTTTTGCATTGCTCTCGGGCTCTTTTTGAAGACAAAATACACACGCTGCTGCCGGTCCAGAGTCAAGCACTCCTGGTCTTTTCATGCAGTCTTGCCTTGAAAACTGCTCATTTTTGGCCCACGTAACTTCAGGAAGTAGCAGTATAAGGCCAATATGAATACTGGTTAGATCAGTATTGTTTTGGCAGCATTAATTTTAATCTACATTTACTTTTGCTAAAATACCCAGATTTAGCTCAAGAGTAGCTAGTATCAACGCAGAATTTGTATAAACTAGACTTCTGGTATAAGGCAACTAAGACCTAATGGATTCTCCTTTCAAAACTAATACAAGGCTTTGAAAACAATCAGGGGGCTGGAAAAGACATCTGTAAATTCCTGCGAGGAGATGACCTCTCCAGTATAGCTTTTCTGCCCCTTTTTCTTTCTTTTCTTTTTTAAAACTTGGACAACAGTATTGCAGTTTGATAAATACAATGAATGTCCTATCATGCGATACGAAACATTACTTCTTCTCAAATTTTCAGAGGCACGTGGCTAAAAGAAAAATAGTCAATTGTAAAAGCTGAGATCCAGGTACGTTTAAATCATTCATCCAAAAGATATAATAATGAGGAAAATCATCTTTTCTAGGATCCCTGCTGCAGAGACAGAGAAAGAAACATAGTAACTTCAGCGTTTCCAGGGGAGAAGAAGCATCGCTCAGGAAGCTACTTTCCCAAAGGTGAAAAACTGTAGTTTTAACTACCGTCAGCAAAACGTTAGGAGCTCTCTTTGCCCATGAACAGCAAACCTGCTCACGGTTTCTCCGACTGCTACACACAAAACAAGCTGCTACAGCCATCTTTGAGGAATAAAAGACATACTATATAATTTCACCTGAAGAAGGCGTGTTTGCAAATGCTGTTTAAAACCTGTCTCAGAACCATCATTTTACTTGCCACGGGTCCCAATCTCACTTTGGGACAGCAACTGAAGTCCTCTGAAAATCATGACTAAATCACTCTGGCGCGAGCTGCTGCAGTTCCCTTAACGGAGGGGTTAGGCCAAATTCTGCCGCCCCCGAATCCACAATCCCGCGCACACTAACGGTACCACATTTGAGGAGTCCACCTCCAGGGGAACCTGCAGACCCCTTTGCGTTAGAATTGAGATAAACGCTTTTTCAGTCTCTTACGCGAGCTGGAGTTAAAAGGGTGGGGACCAAGGAGGGATGAGAATTTGCCGTACCTCTCCAAGCGTACAGAGCTCCATGATTATCCAGACTGGGTTTTCTGTAATAACTCCAATGAGCTTCACGATGTGAGGATGATCAAACTGACGCATTGTTACTGAAAGGGGGGAAAAAAATTAAAATCAAAGTAGCACGTTACATAAAACCTAACTGCTAATGCAATGCCTATCCATTTTTTTTTTTTCTTTTTGCAATGAAACAACTTAGTCGAGAAGCTTGTAGTCTGTAACTGCGCCACCAGTAGCCGGGAGACACAGTAACAGTTCTGCGGGACTTCAGACAAGTGCTTGCAAGCCGTGACGTCTGCTCGTTTGAGATTCTGCGTCCTGCCTGCAGGCAGCCCGAGATCCCGCTTGCTCGAGCGGCTCTGTCTGCCCTCCACCCGCTGTCAAAGGTGCAAGTCGGGCTCTTCTGCCTTGCCGGAGCACGATATGAGTTGACGTCCTGACCTATCAACCCGGTTTCTGACGTATTCACTTGCGCTCTTCCTCTTGGAAGAGGAGGAGGGAATAAAAAGCAAGTATCATTCAGTATCTGAAAAAAATCGCGTGTCAGCTTACGGCATAAACACAGCATCTCATTTAATGATTATGCTCACATCTGATTTTATTTTCTACAGGCTTAATTAACTTTTCAGGCTCAGCAGTGCGCTCGCAATATATTTGATGCAGGAAGATGGACAAACGTTTATTAATGCTGTGGGGAGGTGTATTCGGTAGGTTAAGCAAAATATCAGTCTTCTGATTAAGTTTTTATCTCCTGACATACGCATGACAAATATCCTTAATTTAATCTCAAGGTGGTATCTCTTTTACATTTACAGTTTACAACGTCAACAGAAATACACTGCATTTCCCCAGCTGAAGAGTCTGCTCCCGTTCAACAACATTGGACAAGAACAAACCCCTCATCTTTTGGTTTTTAATTAATCACAAATTAATCTAGCAAAAGCAGCGGGTGTTTTGGGATTTCCTAGTCTGACGAGCTCAGAATTATACTTCGGTACAGTGGCACGCAGCAACCATATAGTCGACACATTTCGTAACACCACAAACCCCAAGAGAAATCCCTTCGACAGTTTTATTTGTAAGACCTAATCTCGTAACAGTTCAATAATGCATTATCCTGCGAGAAAACTTATGTGGGCCCACATAAGCATATACCCTTTAAAATATTAGTGTATTAGGAATAATACAAAAAAGCTCTTTCTGGCATCCTGCAAAAAGATGCAGTACTGTACCAGAACCTCTGGACCCAATTTCATTATTAAAATCTTTGTAAATAAAGTATGTATTCCAAGAGAAACACCAGCCATTTAGTTTTAGCGTTCTCTTACGCTAACCAAACTCAAAGCAATTTTGAATGTGTTTTGTAACATGAAAACACCGCTTCACTGGTGTAAAAATGAAGCAGGAACACGGTTTTAATTGCCTAAGGAATCTTTAAGGAAAAGAAATTAACTCATTTTACCTGTCAAGCTCACAAATTCAGAAAGGTAAGGTTACTATATTGCTGCGCTCTCCAGCATCTAGAGGCAGGAGGAAGATTAAGTTTCTGGAAAGAAGGAACTATTGGAGAAAGGAGCAGTTTCCCATATCCAGTGGGAGATCAAGAATAACCTCCCCAAACCTGGCCGTTGATACTGCAGCACATACAACTGCGTCGATGGCAACACACTGCTACACAAAACAGGACAGGAAGGCAGGGAGAGGCGTTGCTCTAAGAAACATTTCCTTTCATGTGTTTCTTCTTGTACGGATCAATACTAAATCCTTTTAGCATGGAAAACAGCACTACGCACAAGCAACTAAAACCCCCAAACTATCAAAACTTGGGGTTTTTTTTGGAGAGCGGTATAAGAATCCAAGAGGCTCTCAGGGAGCTTTCCCTCTGAACACAAACAAAAGACAGGTAACGGGAGGGCAATTAGGCTACAAAAAGGAAGAAGAACAAATGGCAAGCTGATTAAACCCAAATGAAAAAGTTACCTGTCTGCTACGCTGGCATTTCCTGATCTGTCAAGCTCCAAGTACAATAAGGAGCCCTTGTAAATGAGCAATTATTGTCTAGATTGTTAAGAAACAGCGGCGTATCTCTGACTGCTAAGCTACTGCCATGAGCAATGGCATTTCCTTCTCCAACAACTAGGAACGTAATTAAGGAAAACGATAATAAATTAAAAAAAAACTAACATTTAAAAAAGAAAAGGCATTAGCTACGAACACAGATTTTCTTTATAGATAGTTGGAAAAAAAGCCTTGAACAAAGGAACACCGAGCAGGAGCATCCTGTTACCCGGGCCCGAACCAACGCCCTGAGCGGTGTAATGCAACAGCTCTACAAGGTTTCCAGCTATACAGGAGCAGAGGATAACAGGCAAAAATTACGGTCCGTGTCTCATACGTTACTTTGCTTACAAATGCTAAAGAAATCAGCAACCGTAACGTCCTTTAGCAGTTTTGCCCTAGCGGCCAGCTCTCCGAGATTTCTGACCACCCGCAGAGCTCATAACGGGCTCAGAAATCCGGAAAGCCTTTCTCCGTGTACGAAGAGCCCTGTTTGGGGAACTGTACTACTTGTGGGCAATGATTTAGGAAATTCATACGGTGAGAATTTTAAATCCTGAATCTTCAAAACAGACCTCTTTTAGGCCTAACGTTTTAGCCAACGTTGTTAACCGAGATGACAACCCGACTTTATGAAGGGGGCGCAAAACACTCCAACAAGTGCTACGTGTCCTTTAATTCATTAGAGAAAGAGAAGGAAATAGAGAATCTGATCTCTAACAGGCCAAAACTGGTTAGGAAGCCTTAAAGGAGTTGGACATCACTGCTTAATTGTGAAAAAAATCAAATAATCTATGTATAACCATATACATGGGCAATGCCAGGATATAAAGCAGTCTGCCTGGCACATATTGCAGGAGAGGACAAAGCTCATGCTATACGTATATGCATATAAGCTCATGCTATATATGCACATATAAAATTTCCTAAATATACATTTTATATAAAAACATAAATAGTTACGTATTTCTATAATTTCTTGTTTTCATATATCTCAAACTGCTTTTACATATTAAATTAGTATCTGTAGTTTGCAGCACAGGTGGCTGCAAAGTCTTTGCAAGGACCACTCACAGAAGCTGGCCCCAAAGAAACATTTTAATACTCACAGGCTTCTTGCAAGAACTTTTCCCTAACGCTGTCTGAGGTGCAGTTTTTACATGTTTTGATTGCAACAGCCATAGCTGGATTTTCCTGAAAGACAAAAATTTAGAAATAACTGAAACACAGCCCATCACAAACTCACTCCTTTAAAACTCCAGCAAAACTGCTTAAAAGAAAATGACTAAAAACTAAAATGTCTTTAGTTGAGAAATCAGCCGTGAAAGCAGCAATATGCTAAAACTTAACAAAATATTATAATCAAGACAGTGTTCAACATCTGCAGCTAATGACCCTAAGAAAAATTGAATTTACTTTAAGTACCGTCATTCATATACAATTATGGAAAAGTGATGTTTAAGTGAACAGTACCATCAATTTTCTAGTGTGACTGAAGATGGTAAACCGCAACAATATTTAGCAAAAGCAGAGGAAACAAGTAGACTTCTGCCTGAAAAACGTGCTTGCCTGACGCAAGTAAGCAGCTTGGAAAGCCAAATAAGGGCTTTTTTGAGGCTTTTGCCATGCAGAGACTGGCTATGACTTCGACTGACTCAAATTCCTCGTGCTAAGTAGATTGCTAGCAGGATCCACAGTAATTAAACTTTTCAACTGAATTTAAACTATAAAAGAATGTAAAGCAAGGGCTTTACCTATTACATGCAATGTTAGTTATATCAAGGGCTTAAAACTGAGTTTAACAGAGCGCAGGTGTTCACAATGGGAAGCAGACTGCAGCATCCGCTTTCTTTTCTTAAAACTTGAGTTTAACAGAGCGCAGGTGTTCACAATGGGAAGCAGACTGTAGCATCCGACTTCTTTTCTTCCGAATGCAGAAAAACGAGAAGCGTTGACAGAGCCCAAAGGAGGCCTCCTGGCTCGGATGCCATCTCTAACCTTCTCTTTCTACAGGACGTTTTACAAACGCTCTTCTCACAAGTCACGGACCGCGCCAAGAAGTTGCAAGCGTTTCTCTTCGGGAAAGCAGCCCGAGGTGCTCGTCCTTCCTTAGCACCCGAGACAGCCCTCCCTCCAACTCACTTGGTGAACGCTAGTTTTTAAGCAGGTGGGTTTAAACCTAGAGGAGACGAAGGGCACCGTGCGTGGCCAAGGGGACAGCTCACGTCCTGCTGGTGCCGCAGGGCTCTCGGTGCGACCGCTCGGCAGAGGAACTCCAAAAGCTGCCACATCCAACGCGTGGCTTCCTCCAGCCCAGCCGAAGTAGCACGGCGCTAAAAACACGCCGCTCCTCTGAGCTCCTAACGGCTCCGAGGCAGGCGAACTGTTCTCATATCCACCAAGGTACAGGCCTAAGCAACGACTAATACGACTGCTTTAAAATTGGAAAGGCTAAGGACTGCGCGTTGTTTAACGGGAAGATTATAAATCATCTTTCACCCCAAAGGCTACTCGGAGGGTAACTGGGCAGACTCGGGCCCTCTCCTATTCCTTTAAGGCCAGGGAGAACTCAGGATTCACCAATATGTTCATCCGGGCCCTATTTTGTATCTCTTTTTACAGACAGACATTATCAGAATGATTCTGAATGTAATATTACGTTTCAGAGGCTTAAGTGCCTATTTTCTAGGTCTTTCACAGCATTTCCCTCCGAGCTGATTTTGCAAGAAAATATTGATTGCAAAATTTCTCTCATAGACAAAGATGCCCACAGTCTGACTGAGAAGCTTTTGGTAAATCAAGATGATTTCATTCCCTTCTGAAATCAGGCTAACTAAGGTTGGAAGAGACCTCTGGGGGTCAAACAGACCAAGCCCTCTCCTGAGGATTTTTGGAACATCTTATAACCAACAGCAGCACCAAAAGGAACAGTTCTAGTGTCTGCCAGCAGCAAAGACTCCAAACATTTTGCACAGTAGATTTAGGAAGCAGCCTTGTATCAAGATTTTGCTCATTTTTTGTATTTTTTTTGGATACGGAGGCAACAGAATGAGAATATGGAGGCCGGGCATGACACCCAACTGGTAACAGTTTGTCTAGTGAGCAGCAAACACTATTGAAAATGGCATTTCTGGATTAATTTCACAGCAGTTCAGCCTTTAAAAGACAGTCGGATCTGGATGGTTGAGCAATACTATTGGTCCTATATGTTCCAGCATATATGGTCCTATACATGTTCCAGTCAGCATCCCACAAGCCCAGGCTGATGGTGATTACCAGGTATTTCAGGAGTATTTAGTAGCAAGTGGCATTCAGCACAATAAAAAGCCCTGCAAATGCAACTGATGGGATCACGAGATGGGTATTTAGGTTGAATTTGAGCTGGCAGAACTAGATGCCAGAAATCTCGCCCCATATTACCACAAGTGAGCTGAATATATACAAAGATGGAACTGCCGTTGTGTTACTGTACTGCGTCTTGAGTCTACTGTAACATTTCTGCCAAAGGTTTAGGTTACCATCAGACTATCGCATCTAAATTTAATGGTAAACCCTTATTAATTTCCCTTTCATATTCAAGTGTCTGATGCAGCAAAAACATTATTAAATAAAGTCGGCAGGTTACCACTTAAAAAACTCCTACGATGCACAGGATGACTGAACAAAGGGTATTTTCCGATTAAAGAAAAAGAAAAGACTGAGATGGAAAGCATTTTCAAAATGGTGTTCCTTTAAAAAAAGGGGACTTCAGTTGGTTTTATAGAGCACTAGATTTATCCGCTCTGCCCCAAATTCAGCAAAGCGTTACTCTTCAGTTAACTCGGACAGGCTTAAATGAAAAATAAGGATACCCCTTAAGGCAACGTATGTTTCTAAATGAAGACATCACAACAGATTTCAAACCTGTATGAGATAGTTAATGTTTTTCCCTGTGCAGGACCCAACCATATCCAGGAATCTAATCGGGTTTTACTGGACAACGCTTCCAGAAGTCAATGGTGTTTTTCCCAAGTTAGAGCCAGACCGTTGCATACAGGCACTATTAGCTTAGCTGTCAACACGCCGCCCCCTCAATCCTTTCAAACAAGAAACGGATGCGCTCGCTTTACGTGTGTGGAATCAGTTCCTTCGTCACTATAACCCTGAAATTTTCTGTGGGAGTGAAATAATTTTACAACTTTCTCTTGCGTATTTCCGCAAAGTCAATCCTTCCTCCATTTAGACTGCAACTTTAATCTTTGTGATTGCATTCTGGAAAAACACATAAGCACCGAGCTAAAGCACGTTAGTCCTGCCGACCTCTCTGCTTTCACTGGCGTGACTCTTGCGCTGGATCAGCAACCAACTATTCCGCATCTTTTCTTTCAGGCCAAAACAGTAGTTTATTAAGGTATTAGCTTCTTAGCAAGAGATACCGTTAGATACTCACTGTAGAAAGAGCCACACTGGTTGCAATGTTGTCGCTCTGCTGTAGGTTACAGCCCTTGCAGCAGATCGGCTGGGTAAGTTCTCCTACTTCAGCGCGGATCAGCTTAGCCTGACACAAATGGCAGCTTCTCCACTGAACGTCAAACCTAAAGCTAACTTGGATTTACCACCCATAAATGCGGTGCCAAACTCCTGGCGAGGTCCTGAAGCGCCGGACGCCCAACAGTGGAGCGTGGCCAAAGGCACACGGGCTTGCCGTGCTCGGACACGCTCAAACTAAAGAGCGAGCAAGCGTACGGTTGGGGTTAAAAGCAACGACTTCTAATTCTGACTCAGCCAGAGGCTTTGGTAGGGGCCTGAATAATTCACTTGGCTATTTTCTTTTATTGTCTGACAGGGATATAGAGCAACAAGTAAGTTTTCTGCATCAATTGAAACACGGAGAACTTGCCGTACCTGCTGATTATTCTTATATATAACGCACAGTCAACGTTTACTTCTTCTAGTGGACTCAATCCAAGGCATACAATATTTTTTTAGTTAGACATTAGCTTTATTATTTCAGAAGTGATACTTACTGGACTCATGTAAACTCCCTGGTGTACATCTCCAAACTGTCCTTCACCAATGCAGCGCCCCAGTTCAATTCTCTCCCTTTGAATTTCATAATCCCTGGCTGCAAGAATATAATGCGCTTAAAATATCAGATTTCTAACCAAGGGCAAAGAAATAATCCACAAGATACCAAACTCAAAGTCAGTCACTCAAATGTCTCACATATGAATAACTAAGATTAACATCTGCTGCACATCAACCTATACAGCAAATGCTGTATACACACAGTGGAATCCTCTTAACTAAATGTTCGAATCAAAGCAATGAAAAAGGAATTTTGAAATGCAATTTCCTAAATTGACTGCTATGCATTACTAATTTCAATGCAATGGATATAATTCAATCCTTCTTAATTACAGGTAATAAAAGGCAAAGAACCCAAATAGCGTAGGGCAATGCGGAATGTATGAAATACAGCCTGAGCACAGGTGCTTTTTTATACGTTTAAGAGAACTCCACTATGTGGTATTTTAGATCTCTGAACCATCAAATGAGCCAGGAGAATTTTTAAAGAGGTAACTGCAAGAAAAAAATACGGAAACAACACCATGGCAAATAAAGATGAAATGAAAGAGCAAAATTTTGAGTGCGTGACACTTCCATCAGCGTATCATTGAAATGAAATTGATATAACGTTATGTGACTGAGGCAATTTTATTAACTTTGTGGTTTAATAGAGTGGGGATATTACTGATAAAAACGGCTCAGTACTTCAGAAAAACATTTAATCAGTTGCAATTGAATTACTTTGTTTGCAATTTCTAGCTGACATGGAAAAATATTTCAGGAATAGCAGAAAAACATCTACAGCATGTTTTCACCTCTTCTTATATTATTCAGAGAAAAAAAATCATCATCAGCCAGCTTAGACTTCATGCCCAATTATTTTATGGCTTCATTAACACTACAAAATTCATGTCTTCTAGCTGGATAACCCAAGCAACAAATGCCTTTTTCATCTCTTGCTTTAGATACTGCATTTTCCTCTTTAAAATCCCCAAGCTAGCTGGTTTAACTATAAAGAAATAATGCTTATTAAATGAAAGTGAATAGTAAACCGAAAAATTCCACATCATTCCAAACTGCAAGCACACAGAGATGGGTAAAGGGTCTCCTGTTACCTTCATCTATTCCATAGCTTTCTGCAGTGCAATTAAGAGAAAAATCAAATGCTTACTTAGAGATAGCTTCTTCAAATTAACAACACAAGGACAAATATTTGTTAACATTTAAAAAACCCGAAGAAAGAACACATGGAAGCAATTTCAAGTTTACATTAACAGAAGTCGCGGGCCTGTTCTTGGGATCTTTACTGGCTCAGTCCTTTGAGAGCTCAACACTTGAATCCACTTCAATCCCGCCAAGCCCTTAATGAACTTCACTTCAACAGTCCATCTGGCGGGCTTTGAGTTGAAGGCGTACTTAAGTGTTCAGCATCATCCGGGGCTGAGCTCACAAGTAATTACTTACACGAGAACTTCAGTGTAAAGATTACAAAAACTACATACAGAGTGAATACATTAACAAATAAGGAAGCACATAACCTATCACAGTATTTGATCCTGCAATTATTTTAGTGGAGTCATGTAGTGGTTTACTGCACACAACATTCAAAATACATGTTTATTTTGGGAAAACATATATATTCTTGCTTTTCAAGTGTTTTCCAAAACGGCACACTATATTGTAAAGGCTGAAATGATTCTGAAACGTTCCTCCCCTGTAAGGGAGACTCTGCAAATCCTCAGGTACATTCATCATTCTGCAGCTGATCACGGTATCAGTTTATGACCATCCTGCCGCCCTCTCACCACAGCCAAACGTGACATTTCTGCAGCTCTGTGTACCGATTATCTATTTCTAGAGAAACCCTAGACTGCCAGAACCCAACCGTACTGGGCAGACACAAACTTTTAACATCACAACACTAGATTTGCTTTTTAACCTAATTAACCCTATCCTTCCAGTTTAGGATTATACTCTTAATTCCAACATGCCTGAAGACAAAATCCTCGTATTGGCTAGTGCATTATCTTTATTTGACTTCAAAGATGAAGACTTAGGAAAATTTTGCATTTTTATGTGCCTAGAGCCTTTCATCTTTACAAGACGACATGTGGTACAGATGACTTTCTTCTGCTAAGGACTTAGAGCTGCAAGTCTATCACAGAGCAGGGCTGAGATACAGCTACAGAGCAACATGTAGAAGCTAGAGACTTCCCAAATTACTTGCCCCTATCAAAGAAATCATATCTACTTTTTTTTTCTAAGCATGTTTTCATCATCATAATTAAAAATCCTGCATTTTGAGATAAAAAAGGGATTTTACTCTGAAGTCTTTGACAACAGCAAATCTCGTTGCAGAATTTGGTTGTCTTTGCTTCAAAAGCTGAACTCGAAAGACATTGAATGCATGCGTTTTCAGAACATCTTTCACAACAAATATTTTCTTTGAATGCATATTACTTAAGGCTGAAATGCAAGATTCAGTCCCTGCGAAACCTAAGAAGCTACCAGACAAAAGTTCTCAAGTTAGCTACCATACTTACTTAACTGGCATACTTACTTGATGGCATTGTATAAGTATCTTCTTCATCTATAATCTCCGCATAGTCATCTGTTTCTGTAAGGGAGGAATTAAAGAGTTTCGGGAAAAGCAGGTGAAACCAAATCTAATCTTTTTATCACTGTCTCCAATTTATCAGTACTGATATACCACAACCCCCAAGTTCACCACTGCTGGGAGGCATTTACAATAGCATGACTTAAACTTGCTCATGCATGAAGTATTTATGAAAGCGATGATGACTTCAGTGCCCATTCTACTATGTCACGCAGATGCATTTAACCAGGCATAAAAGGAGAATCCGTTTGAATGCTAAAAAACAGCAAGTTCTGTAACTGAAACCAACCCACCTCAACCGCTGACTTAAAAAGAAAATCTTTTAACAGCAAATTCCCGCCACAAAAAAAGGGAAAACAACATTGCTCACGGATAGAAACAGCTAATGTCAACAGGTTAAATTCCTTTACTCTCAATGAAGCGTGAATAAAGGTGTGCCAGTTGTGCTATGTCTAACAGGCAGAGCAGCCAGGAAAGATGTTCCAGGGCAGCATCTCCCTAGGGTCGGTGTGGCAAGGTGAATAATTTTCCATAGTTTCTCTTAGAGCATCGAGAGCCTCAAGGTCCCGCTCTTGCCCTACCCCCTCTTCTCCTCTCTTCATCTTAGTTTTCCCTGTTTAGGGGAAATTCACTCCAACAACTAGCCAGTTTTGTTATCAAGAATCAACACCTCACAGTTAGTTTTTGGAAAGCATTGGTTCTCAACGTTTTAAGAAAAACAACTCTTCTTCTTCCTTTAAGACTTGCTCTTTTTACATCATCAGTTCTCAAAATAGTCTAAAAGGTGTCAAGTCATATCAGAAGACCCTCCTCTTGCTCTAAAGAGTTTCCAGTGTGAGTAGGTAATTCCCTAGCAATCAGATAAATTCTCATTCTGATTGACCAAACCAATCCACAACAGTGAGATGATTTTTCCCTGCAAGGTCGCTTTCTTTAAATGCCTATAAAGGTTTGCAAAAATTGAACAGTTTCAAGTTCGGTATGTGGTTTCCAGGGCTGGTTGCAGCTGAGCAAATCCGGGGCTGCCTCTGAAAGGCCAGATTCACTCCCCCTTTTTGCCACCTCTCCAGCACACATCTATTCCTACTCCTCCCTGGTATCATTTCCAGGGGCTGGGTGTCCGAATGGGGAGTGGGATAAAGCCATAGTGAGAACGGAAAAAAAGGTTGGGATGACCCCTTTCGATGGCAGCCCTCAGTCCAGCCAACTTCAGTCAACTCCGAAGCCCAAGCAAGGCTCCTAAATATTATAGAGGTTTATAAATAAGAGGCTTCATCTTCAAACAGAATGAATATTCAACAATTAGGGAACTACAGGTTGCCTGTAACCTTTGAAGTTCAACACACTTCAGTGATTAAATATAGATTTATGACCCTAAATTGGCACTATTAAAAACCAAAAAAATAAATAAAGCCATTTTTTCACCAAACACCTGTGGGAATATATTGTATCTTGCAAGAACATAATCAGAAAATCCTCTGCCACTCAAGATTTTTGCCAGGCAATTTTTGCTAGGCCATTTAAGATTTTTGCTAGGCAAACAGAAAATAAATATCTATTTAGGACCTGGCAAAAGAGAGTCAGGCAATGAAAACTCAGTATATTATAAAGAAGCTGCACAAGTCTGAACAGGCAGGATACCCCAGTGGAAAGAAAGAAACATTTATCCTTTTTTTTGGGTACGTTTTTTCCTCCCTATACTATAGACTAACTTTTGGTGAGAGACAAGCCCCAGTTTGATCTAAAAAATAAGCACCCATCCGAAAGGCAACGTTAGTGTGACAGCAACATAACTGGGATAAATCATTCTGCTTTCTTGCCATATTGTAGTGAGATATTTCTGTTAGGTCAAGCACGATATACTTTTTATATATTTTTATATTATACGTGTGTGTGTGTGTGTGTGTGTGTGTGTGTATCAGCTACATTTATAAGCTATTATTTGAGGCAGATACCAGAAAGTACTTTATACAGGCATGTAATGAATGAATGAATGAGATTATCAACAGCCTCAGGAAGAATTAAAGGAATCCGGGCACTAGAACTGGTTTTGTGCCGGTCATTAAAAAAAAAAAAAAAATTAAAACATTTGTCACACTGCATTATAGAACAGTGCTTATAAAATGTGATAAATGGCTTGGCTCGTTCATCTTTCCGTTTTAATTAATGAAGCTCATTCATACTAAAAGCATTATCAGAGCACCGCAGCCCACTTTATGGGCTTTTGATACGTTGCCCAAAACTCAAGCTGGAAGGGTCTTCTGCTGGCCAGTCCAAATAAATTAAATGCATGCAATTAACTAAACAAGTATTCCTTGTTATACATTTACTACTTTGGAGAGGGATCTAGGAATTATTTCTTCTGACTTCTTAACTAAATACACCTCCACTCTTCCTGGGAATGGGAGGCAAACTTAATCAAGGCGAAACCATGCTTAAAGGGTTCTGCACCCAAGACAGCAGCGACCTCCATCACCTGCCGACTTTACACCACGCTTGGAGAGTCCTACCCTAAGACGGGCTTCTACGAGAGGCTTTCCAGAAGCCAGGCAGAAAGAGAGCGCAAAGCAAAACTCAGCTGGGCAAGGCTCTCCGGGCTGCTTTACGAAGCAAGTTGTGCTGCAGCGCTCTCAAGAGGTGAAAAGCCCCAACAAAGCCGGGCTTTGGGCAGTCGTCCGTATCTGAACATCTGGGAAGAGCGAGATACAAACGGAGGGCTCTTTACTGCTTGCTTCTTCCTACATCTCAAAAACGGGCCTGAGCTTATTCACCTGCCAGCCCTAGACTGTTTTAGATGAAAACCAAAGAGGTCCCTTCTGGACAAACACACAGTGGTGGTGGTATACAGGTGAGGTAGCTAAGTAGTGCTTTATTATATCAGAGTGTGTTTAGCAGAGCATAGGAAAAACACACCCTGCTACACGGCATCTGTGACAGCCGATTCATGGTTTTTACCCCCTGTGACATTTCCCTTTTTATGTTTTTTTTTTTCCCCCCAGTGTTTATCAGGTCCTATACATTTACCAAAAAGTTAAGATTAGCATATGAAATAGGATTTCTGAATTTATGATGGGGAAAAGAAAACGCCCTTTGCGTTTTTAACATTTTAGAAAAGAAAGAAGATGGCGGTAGTATTAGCTTAACATGATTTGTATCTGAAGGGGAGAACGGAGAAGAGAATTTATATATCTCTTTACATTTTACTGAGAGGAAGGCCACGAGCCAGTATCTCTCTCTCTTTTCCTCTCCTTCCTTTTCATATCGTTTTCTGAGCCCTTTTAGTACCTCCAGCTTATGAGAAAGAAGATACATGCACCAGCAGCGGTAGCAGCTTGATTTTTTCCAACAGCAGGTGGCTTTCCTTTGGAAAAATGGCTAGAAATTGCTTTTTAAACAGAACCCAAAGCTTTATTTGCAGAGAAGAACAACTCAACATTTTCTAGGGGGGAAAAAAACCCCACCGGACTTGAAAAAAAACTCCATGAAAATCATCACAACAGAAGTTAAAAGATTTTGTAACAACAGCTTCAAAGTTCTAAGGAAAAAAAAGAAGAGCGTTACAAATCTTTTGCTAGAATCAGTACTTAGAGTAGCTTAAGCCTGCGCAATATTTCATATATTTCATCTAAAGTAACCCGTTTCATATAGTTTCTTTTTTAGGCAGGAAACAACAAGGGGACAACAGAGCACTTTGGTGCTACTATGTCTTTGAAGTCAAGCATCACTGGGACGACTCATTTATCGGTTTGTTACCACGTCCAGTGAACTTGCTCATGGACAAAAGAAAAATCTGCGAGACGACCGTTTCAGTCCAAATGAACGGACACTCTGGAAAACCCACAAACCTCCTCCGCGCCACGCCAGAACTCTCACTGCAAACGCATGCAATACCGAATCGCTGCGTGTTTCAAATGCCTTTTTCCCCCCCTTTTTCTATTCCAGGTTAGCAGAAAGTGTTAGTGGCGTGGCCTGGGAAGCACAGTATTTCTTGGCTAATATCCAATGCAGGCTGCTTTTTAATACTAAAATTTGCATAAAACCGATCACTGAAATGTGCATTAAGCGGTACATGGATATAAGAGCTGCATATTGCATGTTAGTAACACACAGACTAGAAAACATATTACCGTCCCCACTAATTTCATCTGCAGATCCAGGTGGCATGCAAGGAGAGAGAAAAACAGAGGGGGAGAGAGAAGGGACAGAGAAGGGGGAGGGGAAAATATACTATTAAATTCATGAGTAATCCAAAAGTATTAAGACTGCAGTCATCTTATACACCTGACTCAAGAGAAACCAGAAAAGTAGTGGAATTTAAGACTTCTCACCTAAAACCCAAGGGACAGAGCTACGTTCTGAGAAGCTCGTATGACGAAACAAGTTAATGACTTTCAAACACAAAGTTACACAAAAATTAAATTTGGGAGTGGAACCAGTTATTCTAATGCATCGTTAAGAAATGCCAATTTGTGCTTTAATTCGATACTTCCACTACAAGACAGATCTCCTACAGCCAGATGAGTCAGTTCAACTCGGCCAGCAAAGCTTCGCACGGACACTCGTCATTTTTGAAAACCAAAGCCGGTGGTGACTCTTTCACGGGACACGTGCTCCTAAAGCTATCGCTAACACGCGAATAAGAAACAGAGTAATGTAAGTATTAATCATACAGAACATTTACAGTTATACAAAGCTGAAAGTTAAATGCGCGGTGAATGGAGCAACTCTACTGGGAATCTGTTCAAATGAGCACGGCAGTCTGCATTCACAGCAGCGGCCGTACGCCACACCAGTGCCCACACCGCAAGCTGATGCGCTTTAGACATTACTTATGAATAAAATGAAAATGCACACTAATATTGCAAAAATAACGCACCTCTTCCTCCAGTCTTCACCCCTAACAAAGCCAAACTGGTCCTCTCAGAGTGCTGAACCAGTAAGCAGCCGCAAGCATCACTGTATTCAATACTTAATTTAAAGTGATCTTAATCGATGCTTCT